GAAAAATGAGGAGGAGAAAGATGATGTTGTTTCTTTTTGTGGAGGGGCCTCCCCCATAATTTTTCCTTATGTGCAAGGGGCCTCGCGCATATTGATTCCTCTTGTGGAAGGGACCTCCACATGTTGATTTCGTCTGTGGAAGGACTTCCGCATGTTCATTTCTTAGGTCAAAGGGGTCTCCACATGGATTTCTTATGTGGATGTGCCTTCGGAGATAGATTCGTTATGTGGAGGGGCCTCCACATATTGAGTTTGTCTGTGGAGGGATCGCCGCATATTGAATCCTTATGTGCAAGGGGTCTCCATATTGATATCTTGTGTGGAGGGGCCTCGAACATGCTGAATCCTTATGTGGGAGGGGCCTTCGTAGATGAGTTCCTTATGTGAAGGAGCCTGTACACATTGATTCCTTATGTGGGGGGCCCTTCACATATCGACCCCTTATGTGGAGGGGCCTCCACATGGATTCCTTGTGTGGAGTAGGAGGAGAAATATGATGAGGAGGAGGAAGAGGAGGCGGAGGTGGGCACGGGGGAAGCGGATTTACATATCGATTCCTTTTGTGGCGGGGCGGGGTACATAGAATGGGAGGAGAGGAGAGGAGGAGGAGGAGGAGGAGGAGGAGGAGGAGGAGGAGGAGGAGGAGGAGGAGGAGGAGGAGGTGGAGGACGAGGAGGAGGAGGAGAGAGAGAGAGAGAGAGTGTCAAGAGAGGGAGGAAAGAGACAGAGGGAGGAGGAGAGGGAGGAGGAGAGAGAGAGAGAGAGGAAGGGAGAGGAGAGGAGGAGAGAGAGAGAGAGAGTCAAGAGAGGGAGGAGGATATGTAGAGAGAGAGAGAGAGAGAGAGAAAAAAAAAGACAGAGAGAGAGAGAGAGAGAGAGAGAGAAACAAAGAGAGAGAGAGAGAGAGTCAAGAGAGAGAGAGAGGGAGGGGGAGGAGAAGAGAGGAGAGACAACGAGAGCAAGAGGAACGAAATTCGGCAGAAAACGGGCGGGAACGTTGAGTCAATGAGTCGGCGAGGGAGTTTTTTTTTTTTTTTTGTTTTTTTTTTTTTTTTTTTTGTATTTCTCTTCTTCTTCTTCTCTCTCTTATCTTTTTTTATATATATATATATATCTGTGTATATGTATATGTATATATATACATATCCTTATTAATAATAATAATAATGATAATACAAATAATAATAACAATAATAATAATAATAAAGTGTCCCCCTCCCCCTCGGAGGCGGAGCTTTTTTCTTATTCCTATGTGAAACACAGGTTTTTTCATATATTTTTTTCCCCCGGGTTTTTCGCTCTCCCGTTCGGCCCCTCGGGGTTTCCCCGCCGCCCCAGGGGGGCCCGAAAAAGAGGAACAAATGGAAACATAGGAAAAAACCATGTTCTCACAGTGAAAAAGAGGAACAAAACTCCGCCTCCGATGGCGGGGAGGGGGAAAAAATAAAAAAAACCCTCCTCCGTCTCCTCCGCCTACTCCTCTCCCCCCCCTCTGGTATCATATCATTCGCCGTTCGCAGTCGCCGTTCGCAGAACGGCGAATGGTATGATACCAGGGGGGGGCGACCATCTATATATATATATATATATACATTTACATATATAGTATATATATAAAAATAAATAAAAAAGCGTGTTCTACCGCTGCTGGCGGAAAGCCGGGGGGGGTCACTAGGGGTTCCCCCCCTTCGATCCCTCGAAAACCGGGGGGGGGGGTCACTACTGGTTCGAACCCCCTCCCCCCCAGTCCATCATGAAAAGGGGAGGGTCACTACCGGTTCGAACGACCCCCCCCCTCCTCGAACACCGGGAGGAGGTCACTACCTGTTCTAACCCCCCCCCTCCCCCTCCCACTCGCCGGCAAACGAAACGATGCCCGTTCCTCGGGACAGTTGGAGAATGGTGGGGATGTTGGGACAGTGGTGGGAAAGGTGGTGGTGGGGACAGTGGTGCGGGGACAGTGGGACAGTGGTGCGGACAGTGGTGGACGGTGGTGGTGGGGACAGTGGTGAGAGGGGACAGCGGGACAGTGGGGACGGTAGTGGTGGGGATAGTGGTGAAGGCGGTGGTGAGGACAGTGGTGGGACAGTAGCACAGTGGGGAGAGTGGTGGGGACAGTGGGGACAGTGGGACAGTGATGGGGACAGTGGGGACGGTGGGACACCACAGTGGGACAGCGGCGGGGACAGTGGGACAGTGGTGGGAACAGTGGGGACGGCGGGACAGTGGTGGGGACCGTGGGGAAAGTGGGGAGAGTGGTACAGTGGTGGGACAATGGTGGGGAGAGTGGGGACAGTGAGACACTGGTGGGGGGCACTGGTGGGGACAGCTGGAACAATGCCTGGCGCAGCGGGGATAGTGGGACAGTGGTGGGGACAGTGGTGGTGGGGACAGTGATGCGGGGACAGTGGGAGTGTGGTGGAAACAGTGGGACAGTGGAGGGTACAGTGGTGGTGGCGACAGTGGTGAGGGCGGTGGCGAGGACGGCGGTGGGATAATGGGACAGAGGTGCAGTAGGGACAATGGTGGGGACAGTGGGGGCAGTGGTGGGAACAGTGGGACAGCTCAGTGGGACAGCGGCGGGGACAGTGGGACCGTGGGACAGTGGGACAGTGGGGACAGTGGGACAGTGGTTGGGGCCGTGGAGAAAGTGGGGAGAGTGGAACTGTGGTGGGGACAGTGGTGGGGACAGTGGGACAGTGCGACAGTGGTGGGGGCACTGGTGAGGACAGTGGTGACGGTGGTGGGAACAGTGGGGACAGGTGGTGAGGACAGTGCTGGGGACAGCAGTGGGGGATGTGGTGCGGACGGTGGTAGGGACAGTGGTGGGGACAGTGGGACAGTGCGACAGTGGTGGGGGCACTGGTGAGGACAGTGGTGACGGTGGTGGGAACAGTGGGGACAGGTGGTGAGGACAGTGCTGGGGACAGCAGTGGGGGATGTGGTGCGGACGGTGGTAGGGACCCAGTGTTGTGTGCTGGCGGTGAGCGTTGGGGGGGGAGGGGTTCGAACCGGTAGTGACCCCCCCCGGTCGGTTTTCGAGGGCGGGGGGGGGGGGTCGAACCGGTAGTGGCCGCCCCCGGTTTTCGCAAGAGGGTGGCGGGGGATTCGTGACCCCCCCCGGTTTTCGAGGGGAGGGAGGGGTTCGAACAGGTAGTGACCCCCCCCGGTTTTCGAGGAGGGGGGGGAGGTTCGAACCAGTAGTGACCCCCTCCGTTTTCGAGGGGGGGGGGCCGGGGGGGGGGGTATAGAATTCGTAGTGACCCACCCGTTTTCTGGAGGGGGGGGAGGGCTTGAACCGGTAGTGACCCCTCTCTGGTTTTCTGGGGGGGGAGGGGTTCGATCGAACCGGCAGTGACCCCCCCGGTTTTCCGCAGGGGGGGGGGGGGCGGGGGGGTTCGAATCGGTAGTGACCCCCCCGGTGTTCCGGAGAGAGGGAAGCTTGGAGGAGAGGGGGGAGGGGTTTGCCGGGGGGAAGGGGGGGGGGTCCAGCAGGGGGGGAGATTTTCGAAGGGGGGAAGGGGGGTGACCCCCAGGTTCCAGAGGAAGGGGGGGTGGGATTTCCCACAGTAAAGCGGCGGTGGATCACGCTCTCTCACATATTCATATGCGTTTACATACATACATATATACATACATACATACATACATACATACATACATACATACATATTTACATACATGCATGCATACATACATACACACATACATACATACAAACAAGCAAGCAAGCATGCATGCATGCATGCATACATACATACGCACATACACATATGCATGCATGCATACATACATACGTACGTACATGCATGCATGCACACATACATACATACACACATACATACATACATACATACATACATATTTACATACACACATACATACATACATACATACATACATACACATACATACACATACACACATGCACACATACATACATACAACCATACAAACATACATACATACATACATACACATACATACATACATACATACATACATACACACATACATACATAGTTACACACATACATACACACACATACATACTTACATACATACATACATACATACATACATATATACACATACACACAAACATACATACATACATACATACATACATACATACATACATACATACAAACATACATACAAACACATACATACATACATACATCCACACATACCCACATACATACATACATACATACACACATACATACATACATACATACGTACAAACATACATACATGCACGCATGCATGCATGCATGCATACATACACACATGCATGCATGCATACATACACACATGCACACATACACACATACACGCATACATACATGCATGCATGCATGGGTGCATGAATTCATACATGCATGCATTACATTTATGCATGCATGCATGCATTCATATCCATATACGTATATATGCATACATACATATATATATATATATATATATATATATCAATATCCACCTACATGTGCAAACATGTATGTATGCACACACCACACATGCACGTATGCATACACTAACACATACATACATCTATACATGCACGCATCAGAGTGAGGGGGCCGAACGGTACATGCACGCATGCAGGTCTGCATGCATACATGCCTAAACACATACATACAACCATACGCACCTACAATACACGTACATAACCATACAGACATTATACATAGTTATGTTTATAGTATAAGCAGGTGTGCATACACATATATATATATATGTATATATATATATATACATATTAATATATGTATATAGGTCGACCTCTCGTTTCTCGAGAGGAGGAGGCCGAGGCCGAGGCCAAGGCCGCGGAAATGATCAAGGCCGCGCTCGAGCAGGAGGCCGAGGAGGCGCGGAAGGCGCGGGAGGAGCAGGAGTTAGAGCAGCAGCGCCTGCAGCACGAGGCCGAGGCCGCCCGGAGACAGCGCGAGGACCTCGAGGCGGAGGTGGCCGCCGGCGTCGAGGAGGCCCTGGCCGCCCAGCGCGCGGGCGCGGTGCGGGCCAGCCGCCCGTTCGCGGGCGCCGCGGAGGAGGCGGCGGAGCCGACGGAGCTGCGCTCGCCCGCGCCGTCGCTGCCGACCGAGCCGCACTCGCCCGCCCCGGCGCCAGAGGGCGGCGTGCCGGGCGCGCCGGCGTGGTGGGGCTGGCTGTTGCTGCTCGGGGGCCTGGCGGCCGCCCTGGCGCTGGGATGGGCGACGACGCAGTCAAGGCGGAGGGAGCTGCCGGTGGGCCGCGGGGGCGGCGCCAACTGCGTGCCGGGCGCGCCTGGCGGCAGCGGGCCTGTCTTCCGGACGACGCCCCCTGCGGGCTGGAACAATGCGGACAGGTCCAGCAGCAGCAGCGAGGACCAGGACGAGGGCCTGCTCGGACGGTCCTGGGGTGACTGGGGCAACGGCCACATGAACACCTACGGCCCCCACAGGTGGGCCACGCGGCCGCCGCCCTGGAACGGCCCACGTCGGGCCGGCTGAGAGGTTGGCCGATGGCAGGCCCGCGAGGACCTGCTGGACTACGAGCAGGACGCGCCGCCAGAGGCAGCAGGACCGCGGCGGACCACCCCCCCGGCGCACGGGGGAAAGCTGCGCGCGCGGGCCGCCGCCGGGCCCGTGGCCCTGCGGCTTGCCGCCGGGCGCGTGCGCCCGCGGCGCCCAGCCCAGAGGGTTCCAAAGGAGGTTTTTGGGGAGGGGTTCTCCAGAGAGCCCCCCCAGGGGCCTCGGAACCTCGTCAGAACGGGGGGTGCGAAGCCCCTGGGGGGAAGCCCTCCTGGAAGTCTTCCTCGCCGGAAGCCCCCTTTAGAACCCTCCGGCCAGCGGCAGCGACAGCGCCGCCGCCCACCTGCGCCCGGCGCCTCGGCCGCGGCTCGGCGGCGCCGCGCCTTGGCGCTCAACGCCGGCCCTGGGCGTGCGGGCGGCGGGAGCGGCGGCCCGTGGCTGGCAGTGTGCGGAGGGGGAGCAGGCGGGGCTGGCGGACCCGGGGTGACATTTTGCCGACTCCACGCAGGAGGGACCTCGCGCTGGAGTGACCCTCCCAGTGATCCAGCGCAGTGAACAAAGGAAGGCGCCGCTTTTTCTCAGATGCCGGCCGCGGAGGCCCAGGCCGAGGCGGAGCAGGAGGAGGAGGACCTCGGGCCACGGGATCTGTGCACAGGGGGAGGAGGAGGAGGAGGAGGAGGAGGAGGAGGAGGAGGAGGAGGAGGAGGAGGAGGAGGAGGAGGAGGAGGAGGAGGAGGAGGAGGATGTGTGCCAGGATGAGGAGGAGGAGGAGGAGGAGGAGGAGGAGGAGGAGGAGGAGGAGGAGGAGGAGGAGGACTTCGGGGACGGGGCCCCGGGCCCATCTCTTGTGCCCAGGAGCGGCGCATGTGTCTCCCCAGACCTCCTTGCACTGTGAACAGATCACGACGGCAGTTTTTGTTCGCTGCTTTCGGCATTTGGGGGCCCTCGCCGGGCCTCGGGGCCGTCAAAAAACGACTCAGGATGAAAAACCGGTCTTGGAGGATGGGTCGAGACTTCCCGGGACCCCGCATGGACAAAAATCACGACATCGGATCTCTGGGTTGGGTGCGGGCCCACTGGTGTCCCCCTATCGCCGAACGCGATGCGGTAGTAGCGTCTTGCGCGCGTGGGCTTGCTCCCCCCCCTCCCCGCGGCCCCCCGAAAGCCTCGCACCAAGGGTCCCTCTTGCCCATAGGGTCACTCTTGCGTGTGGCCGACATTTGGGTTGCCCCAAAAGGGGGTCCAGCGACAAGGGGGTGGTGCAATCGGTTCGGTGTAGTAGACTCGTGGGCTTGCAACACATCTGGGGCGTGTGCCATACACTTCGGGGCGCAGGCGTGTTGCTGGAGTGCCGCGTGCAGGGCGCTGCTTGCAGTGCACTGCAGTCGAATTCTCCGGCGCAGCACACCTGCAAATACCATGGCCCCGAATCTGCTGCACCGCCCCCTCTCAGCCTGGGCCCCCCGTTGGGGCCACCCGAGGTAACTAACGGCCGAGGGAGGCCGGCCGCGCTTCCCGCGCGCCGTGAGGCCCACGGCGGAGCGATACATATGGCCCCGAGTCTGTGGCACCGCCCCCTCTCAGCCTGGGCCCCCCCTTGGGGCCGCCCGACGTAGCGGCCGAGGGAGGCCGGCCGCGCTTCCCGCGCGCGCGCCGTGAGGCCCACGGCGGAGCGCACCCGAGCGAGCCCCTGCCGTCTGCGGCGGCCCCGCGGGGTGGCGCGGCGCGCGCGGCCGGCAGAGCGCGGAAGCCCTCTGCGCGCGTGCTGCCACCGATCGTCGAGAGCAAAGGGAACCGGATCCTGAAGTCGGGCGTGTCCCTCTAATTACAGGATGAATACTCAAAAACAGTCGGACGATTTTGGAGTTTTTTTTTTTTTTTTTTTTTTTTTTTTTTTTTTTTTGTTTTTTTATTATTTTTGAACATTGTTTGAGTATTTGTTAGCTTTCGCCCAAAGTCCGCCTGTAGGAGGACATGCCCGACCTAACCGTATCCCTCGTAATACGATGGGGACGTGACCTCGTTCAGGTCCCCGTCTCTGCACTGGGGATGATCGGCCTGGGCGGCCCTCTTGGATACCTCTGCTGAAAAGGGCCCCCATCCCTGATGTCGTCGGCCCTCCTAACTTGGGTCCCCTCCTAAGGGGTTCGGGGTACAGGGCCGTTTTAATACATGCTCCGCGTGCGGATCATATGAACATGCACGGATTTTTGTATTAAAAACAACGATGGATTCATGCATACATTTACCTATACGACCACCCTACGGGTGATAAGGAGGTTGGGGGGGTGGAGGGGCCGAGCAATGGGCAACAGTGGTGATTGTTCTCCTGACGATGCCAGTGGAGATTTTTTGTCGGAGGCCTGCTGAAGCCCCTCTTGTCGCCACTGACTAAAGCGCTTCAAAATATTGCTCAACGGCTGCACTTCGGCGGTCGAGACCGATGTACCGCCATCATAGCTCCTTTTCCCTTGCTCAAACAGCGCAAACGGCTGGAAGCCCAGCGAAAGCGTGCCTCATGCAGTCAGAGAATACCGAAACGCTGGCAAAGCCTGGTCGATCGCGCGGACGGCCATGGCGCCCGCGCGGCCGCCCGAAGGAACGGCGCGCGCTCGGGGAGAGCGGCTGGCAAAACCTAGCCTGTACTGGGCGGGTCAAAACGAGTGCGGGAGTGGCGCGGCAAGGACGAGGTACCCTGCTTGAGCCGAACCCCGCTAAGCGGGAAGCTTCGATCTACCTCTTGCTCTGCCCCTACTCAGATGGCACGTGCCCGAACGCGAGCAGGGCTCTCCAGAAACAATAATCAAGATACGGGGGCCTTCTCTACGTCCTTCAGGGGCCTCGGTGCGGCGCGACATTGCACCGTGGATCGGCCCCGGAAGCGGCGTGTGCGTGGTGGAGGAGAACCTGAGAGAAGCCCTCATTCGCTGTCTTATTCGGTCTCACTACCGATCTCACAATCGATATCACTATCGACGTCATCATCATCATCATCATCACCATCATCAGCATCATCAACATCAACATCATCATCATCATCATCGCCATCATCAACATCATATCATCATCATCATCATCATCATCATCATCATCATCATCATCATCATCATCATCATCATCATTACCATCATCATCATAATCACCATCATAATCATCATCAACATCATCATCGGGACGCCGACGGGACACCGGCGGGACACCGGCGGGACACCGCGCGCCACCGGCCGCCCAGCGGAGAATCATTTGATCCGGCCGCGCCTCAGCCACAGGAGACTTTCCTCTCGCCCGCCCACGCAGCTTCGCCTCGCCCGCGCGGCACGCACGAACACGAAACCGAAATCGATTTCCCGGTAGGGGGGCTCTCCGTTCCACTTCGATCTCACCCCCCAACCTCCTATTCATAAACGGATCATGCATTACAAATCCCATATAAAAAAAATCCTATGTATTAAAAACTGCCCTGTACCTTGGTTGCTTGTCGGCCGAGGCGCCGCGGAACGCAGAGTCCCTGCCGACCTCGTCGGCCGCCCTTGGGTCTTCGCAGTGGCGTCCCGACGGTCGCTGGGGCCCCACCGAGGGCCGATGGGGGAGCCGCTCGGGGAGCATCGCGCAGGAGGGCAGGGCTCGACCTGCAAAAGGTGTCGTGGGTGATTTCGTGGGCCTTCTTCGGGGTCTGGCTTCGTTCGGCAGCAGAGGCGGATGGAAGTCGCAGCGCGTATGAACCGGCCCGTGACGAGGAAACACGGTTTAGGTCGAGCCCTGCAGGAGGGTGCGTTTCCGTTTTCGCCCCCGTTTCCAGGCCGCACCAGGTCACACCAAGCATTTGCTCTCCTCTGCACTCTCCGCCCTGCTGGCCAGCTTGGTATGGACTGGCAGCGGGGGTGCCCCGAAACGGATGGGTCCGGTAGCAAATCATGGAAGGCTTCTATACTCATATTCCGTTTTTAGAGTGCATTCGCGTTGATGAGCCTTTGGTAATCGATGAGATAGCGTTGATTTAAAGTCGAATTGGCGTCGATTTGGCGTCGACTAGCGTCCATGAGCGTCGATTCGCAAGAGCCGACAACATGGTAGGTACAGTCGGACCGAGGTACAAGGTTGACGGCGGTTCGGGGAGGGTGCCCTGGTGTTCTTCGTGGTTATTGGTTGTCATTGTGCATCTTGGGGAGCTACGCGTGGATGTTCTGTTGGTTTTGGCCGACGGAGGGCCTTATGTTTTTGACGGATGTTGTTTTGTCCTAGGTCCGACTGTAGCGTCGGTTCGTAAGAGCCGACCAAGATGGTATGGGGGGCTCCCATGAGTTACCGCAGGAGGTGGGTACGGCGGCCCGCAGGCAACACGGGGCTTCTTAGAAGGGCACGAAGGTTTCTGAGAGGGCTCACAAGAGGGTTTCTAAGGACCCGCCTGCCGTTTCCGAAGCTCCATGCCCTCCCAGCAGGCAGGGGAGGATGAGATACGGATACCGCTACTCGTCCTGGGAATGCACAGTCGCCACGGCTGAAACTTCTCATTGAAATGTGTGGTCAGAACGCACCTCTGGGAGAGGTCCGAGGAGTAGCGGCACCAGTATTCGAGTAGGGGATCGACTAAATAATTCCTTTACCCCCGAACTGGTTCATTGTATACCCTACGGAAGTACGTCGAATGTCCCACAAGGGTTGCACAAAACGAAGGTCGCTAGATATTTGGTAAATCCTGGAACGCATCCTGAGCTAAGCTTATTTACGGCGACTGCTTGCCGACCGATCTCCCGCCCCTCCCCGAGTGCTCTCCTAGCCCCCCTGCTCTGCCGGTCGGACGAGGGTTGCGATGCCCCGACCTGCTTTACCTTGAGCACCAGCAAGAATTCTGAGCTCCAGGAAAATACCCAAATCAGATTTTCACGCGTCAGGCCCCGGGAGGCGGTACTGGTTCGACGTTTCGCTAGCGCGTCGGGCAGACATTCGATCGTCATCAGTGCGCTCGAAATGATTTCTGGGACGTGGTCCTCGAGTGCGATGGGAACCAGATGAGACGAGGGGGGGCGGAATGGGAAAGGAGGCGGGTCACGAACTCTGCCGCATTCTACGACTCCTAGATGGGGCCGTAGCAGATGGGGTCGGAGGACTGCGCCGCATCGTCGATGCATCAGCGATGCGGCTCGATGTGGACCCTGATTTTCTACACGCCGTCAGCGCCGATGCATCGCCGACGTCGCTGGTGCATCGCCAATGCGTCGGCGATGCATCGCCGATGCATCGGCGATGCGGCGCGATTCTCCGACCCCATCTACTCCGACCCCATCTAGGAGGCTTCACGCATACTGCCGGTTGCGGCCCCGCCACTATAGGCGCTCTCTGTCTCGACACGCGCCAGCGCCTCCTGCGGCGCCAGGAGGCGCCGCAGGAGCCAGAGGATGTCGTGAGCTGATGCTCGAAGAAGAGACACTGCATAAACATGTACATTTTGAGACCTCCTCCTTCTCCTCCTCCTCCTCCTCCTCCTCCTCCTCCTCCTCCTCCTCCCCCTCGTCTTCCATGTGCTGCCCGAGATCCGCGCAGATTTTTTTGGGTCGGTGCTGGGACACCCCCCTGGCGGGGGGCGGCCCCTGGCGCCCCCCCGCGCGCCAGGGAGGGGGGGTCCTGCGCAGATCCGAGAAATCCGCGTCGCGCGCCGAAAGCTTCTGCTCACGCCGTTCTGTGCTCCTCGATGGCAATCCCGCCAAGGCCGGCTCATTCTTTGGCTTCATGTGGGCTGCCGGCTCAGCAGCCTCTGAATCTCCGAGGCGAGAAATTGTACACGACCACCGCCTGGAGGGTCAGTTTTCGGAGCCTCGCAGGCGGTGGATATGGACATATTCGGGCCCCCGGGGGCCGAGATATATATATATATATATATATATATATATATATATATATATATTATATATCCATATCCATATCCATATCCATATCCACCGCCCGCTGGGGCACCAGGACGTCGGTTCCCAGGCGGTGGATAGGGATACACTCCCGCCTCGCATGCATCGGCCTCTACATAGGCGTTCCCGCGAAGGACCTCCCAGGAGCTGCCTCCTGCGCACCTCCACGGGGGGCCGCTCTGCCCGGGGCCGCGCGGGTGTTCCCCTCCGACGGGCCCCGCGTGCGCCCGCGAGCGAGGCCCAGCTGCCACGGCAGCGCGCGGAGCCCACCGGTGCCTCGATGCCATCGGCTCGGAGCCTCCGCTGCTTACCAGCCTCGAACGTATCCCTATCCCTAAGATTGACACGCCAAAAGGCGACGACAATCTTAGGGATTCGCCCTCAAAAAAAACTAAGGGAATCCCTAACATTTGGCATCGTGATGAGGAGGTGCCCGGCATAGGGATAGGGATATGTTCCAGGCTGGTAAGCTGCGGTGTCTTGCCTGGCCAATTGCCTCCCGCGCTCTGCCGCGGGGGGCGGGCGCCGCGACTGCAGCGTGGCGGGGCGGCCAGGGCCACGAGGCGGCAGCCACGGGCCCCCGCCTCCCCCCCGCGGGCCGCTCCCGGGGGGGGGGGGGGGGCGAGGAGGGCGGCGTCGGAGCTCACGAGCGGCTGGCCGAGAGCAGCGTGCTGGCGGCGTGGAGGGGCGGCGGTCGATTCGGGCGTCTGCGGGCACCCCTTGGGGCATTGTCATGCAGGGTCGAAGCGATGAGCTGCTGGGGCGAGTTGAGTTTCTTCTTCACGTCGCCTCCATGCCAGTGTGACGTGGGGAACGATGTCACCAAAGACAAAGACGCTGACGAGGAGGGAGCGTGGGCGGGGTGGTGGGAGGAGTGAAGGACCAGGAGCGAGGCAGGATGACACCAGATGGTGAAGGGGGAGTCGTGCTTCTTTCGTATCACTGCCTGTTTGACTCGACGGCATGTTTCACGACTTGCACTCGCCGATGCCCCCGTCGCCCCCTTCCAGGGTAATTAGTGCACTTCAGCTCGCCACGGCACGAACAGGAGCAAAACATCCTTCTAAAAACGTTTCACTTACAGTACGACTCTCCAAGATCAGAGCAATTCACTGAAGGTTGGCATAGACGCTGCAACAACCGAAGAAATCGGTACCGCTCTCCGTGCTATCCATATGGACCCGTCTCGCATTCCCTCCACATCATCCGCATGGCTTCACGGTGCCAAAGTGTATCAGCAGCGTTTCCTTGCTGCTGTGGGGTCATCAACGGTTCTTCATGCAAGACGACTTCAGTCTTCTTCGAATCCTGGTCGGTCGAATTTGTTGGCAGAGTCCCTGGAAAGCATGCAACAAAGCTTAGAAACAGTTCGAAACCCATTCGTTGTGTTCAGAAACGCACGCACTCCAAAATTTCGGAACTTCTTTTCCGCCGACCTTAGACTTACACATCCTAGCAACAGTGGATTTGAACTTTGCAAAAGCGTTGGCCTGGAACTGCTTGGGAATCTTGATCGTGTAAGCAAGAGGACATTTGCCGCCCCTCAGCCAGTTACAATTCTGGACAAACTCGCCACGCGGGAGGCATTCTGGACGGAGAAGGCCTCGCTGGTCTCTGGCCAGAAGTCCATGGCCGATTCCAAATCGGCGAGCCACTTGTCATGCAGCTGATCTCAGAGCGCGTTGTCTGCCTTCATGTGCTTCGACTTGCGCTCCTTTGCGGCTCCAACCTCTGCAGCCACCGTGCAAAAGTTTGGAACTACATGTCCAGAAGCCGTGTGGCATTCTGTCTGAACCTCCATGCCGACCGCGCGGGCCAGTGCCGGGCAGCCCACAACGAAGAACAGCACCAGACGCTGCACACCTCAGAATTTATTCACCTGGTGCTTCTGCCGCGAGTATGCAGACCACTCAGATGCTGCTCAGCCCCCCCTCGCCCCTTCTCCGCGCGCCCTCTTCGCGGCCCCGTCTCCACCTCCTCTCCCCCCCCGCCCCCGCGCACCGTCCACCAGGCATTGATTCTCAGGAGGAGGAGGAGGAGGAGGAGGAGGAGGAGGAGGAGGAGGAGGAGGAGGAGGAGGAGGAGGAGGAGGAGGAGGAGGAGGCGGAAGAGGCGGAGGTGGTGGTGGACGGCCGTGAACGGAAGGGGCGGAGGAGGCGAAGGAGGAGGAGGCGGAGGAGGCGAAGGAGGAGGAGGCGGAGGCGGAGGCGGAGGAGGAGGCGGAGGAGGAGGAGGAGAGGACCGCGCACCGTCTTGCCCCCCCCGCCCGAGCCGAAGCCCTCCACCCGTGGCCGGCCGCCGCGGGCCGCCCCCGTGCCCGGCCCCCCCCCCCCCCGCGGGCGGCGGGGCGCGGAGGCCTCCGGCGGCCGCCATGGCGGACACGTCCATAGAGATGAGAACGGGGGGGTCCCGCCGCCGGCCGTCCCCTGCCGGGAGGCGGGGCGGCGAGGTCTGGACCTGTCCGCCGCCGCTCCCTGGCCCACGCGGGGCCCAGGAGCGGCGCAGGCAGTCGACGCGCCCAGCGAGGGCGCGCGCCTCGATCGAGGGTGCCCTTTTGTGTCCTCTCCTCCGCGCCCCGTCCTCGGTCGTTTTCGCTGGTCGCCCGTCGCCCCAGGAAGCCCAGCTGCGGCCTCCGAGGGTCTTGCGTCCTCGCCTCCCGTCCACACACTTTGACTGTACAGGCCCCCCTGGCCACGCCAAGAGGCGTGTGCCCGCTCCTGGGTCCAGGATGGGCCTGGCCCGCGGCGGCGGATGTGCACAGATCTCGCCGCCTCGGGGTGGGGAAACTGTGGGTGGCGGGGGGGGGCGGGCGGCGGCGGCGCCGGCGAGGTAGGGTTTTGCGGGACTGGTTGGAGGGAGAAGCTGGTGGGGGAGGGGGGGAGGAGAGGGGGGCTTTGTGATGCGTGTTTTGGGCTGGGGCAGGAGGAACTTTCGTCTGCCGTGGGGCGGAGAGCGAGGGGGGGGGAGAGAGAGAGAGAGGGAGAGAGAGAGGTTGCAAAAAACGAAGGGTTGCAATCCTTCGGTTTTTGTTGCAATCTTTTTTTGCAACCCTTTTTTTTGCAATCCTGTTTTTTTTTGCAATCCTTCGAGAGAGAGAGAGAGAGAGAGAGAGAGAGGGAGAGAGAGCCCGAACACGGGCCCTGGAGGCCGAGGCCGAGGAGAAACACGGCAGGAGCGAGGAGGTCCCCCTCGTGCCGATTGGGGCCTCCCTCGTCGACGGAGGTCGCCGTCGCCGTCGGTGACGTCGCCCTCGTCGTCGGTCATCGTCGTCGTCGTCGCCGCCGTCGTCGTCGTCGTCGTCGTCGTCGTCGTCGCCGTCGTCGTCGTCGTCGTCGTCGTCGTTGTCGTCGTCGCCGTCGTCGTCGTCGTCGTCGTCGTCGTCGTCGTCGTCGCCGTCGTCGTCGTCGTCGTCGTCGTCGTCGTCGTCGTCGTCGCCGTCGCGGCCGTCGCCGCCGCTGCCGCGGCGGCGGCCGCCGGGCCCCCGCCCGTGGGCGAGGCAGACGGACGGCGGGGCGAAGGCGGGCGGCTTCCAGACGACGCCGGGCCGGGCGCCCGGGGAGTCCTCCGCGGACTTCGAGCGGGAGGAGCCCTCGCCGCTCGGGTTCCGAGACCCCCTCTCGGGTAATGAAGCAATCAGGACGGGAGGTGCTTTGCGATTTTCGGCCCCTGGGGGCCCTCACCGGCCATCGGGACCGTCAAAAAACGACTCAGGATGACAAACAGGTCCTGGGGAATGGGTCGAGACCTTTGGGGGTCGACGTAGTGAAAAACCATGACGTCGGGGGTCCGGGTTATGGGACCTACTACAGGATTTCGGCGGTGAGCCCAGGGGGGAAGTGAGGAGGGGCGGGTCTTCTCAGAAGGCTCGGAGGTACCCCGGCCTTCTCAGGAGTTGTCTGAGCTTTCCTCGAAGGCGTAGTAGGCTCCCCAGAAGGCGCGGGGGCTTCTGCGAAGTCTCGCCGCCTTCTGAGAAGGCCTTCTCTCCTTCTCACTTCCCCCCTCGCTCCCCGCCGAGATGAACTCCGGACATGAGTTGTTTTGCAGAATCGGCAACATGTGTGTAGAAGTTGCGTGGATTCGACCAGCATTATACGCTTTCTCCTTGTAGACCTCGCAAACCAGAAATAGCAGCATGGTAAATCAATTCTGTCAGAGCCCCGAAACATCAGGACTGGGGGCGGTCAGGGGTAACTGCAGGTTCGAACCTGTAGTTACCCCTGACCGCGATCGCGCCTCGGGGGCCCCACACCGGAGCTCCCCCGGACCGCAGTTGTCCCGGATAATAATTCGGGCGTCCAACCCTCCCAAATCGTCAGGGCTGGGGGCGGTCAGGAGTAACTACATGTTCGTGCCTTGTGGGCCCCACACTGGCGTTCCCCCGGACCGCACCTGTCCTGGAATAAAAATTCGGGCGTCCAACCCTCCCGAATCATCAGGGCTGGGGGCGGTCAGGAGTAACTACAGGTTCGCTCCTCGGATCATCAGGGCTGGGGGCGGTCAGGAGTAACTACAGGTTCGCGCCTCCGGGGCCCAAACCAGAGTTCCCCCGGATCGCAGCTGTCCGGGATGATTATTGGGGCGTCCAGCCTTGGCGGTCAGAAGTAAGTACAGGTTCGCGCCTCGGACGGAGGAGAAGCGATACCAAGAACACCAGGGGGCCCACCGCCAGCGAGGAGGTCCACGATGCCTCTCCGAGCTGGAGACTGGGGATGTCTCGAGCGAGAGGGGTGGTGGACCACACCACCAGGGAGTTCCCCCTTGCCTCCTCGCATCGCCTCGCCCTGTTGGTGTTGGTGTCGCCTTTTCTCTTGTTCGTATACCACACCGGAGTTCCCCAGGACCGCAGCTGTCCCGGAATTGGGGCGTCCAGCCTTCCCGAATCATCAGGGCAGGGGGCGGTCAGGATTAATTACAGGTTCGCGCCTCGGGGGCCCCACACCAGAGTTCCCCCGGGCCGCAGCTGTCCCAGGTAAGTCGGGAGTCCAAGTTCGAATTGGGGGATGGACTACAGAACTTATGCACTCGAGAATGAATTGTTCGCAGGATCTACCAACACTATGCAGAATGTGCGTAGATTCGACAGCCCGTCTGCGTATTTTTTTCCAGCAGATCCTGCAAACAGAAAAACACAACATTTGGGGTAGATCGTTTCTGTTGTCGATCCCCCATTCGAGCCTTGGGGGCAACGTTAGGGTCGGGGGCTGCCACAGGAAAGGTTCCCCTGGCTCAAGGTGCCCCCAGCTTTTCGCTCCACTTTGGAGCCCTTGGGGCCCTCAGGGCCTCGTGTGAGGCTCTGCGGGCCGTCGGGGCCTCCGTCGAAATCCTGGAGGCCCCTTGGGCAAGGGGCACTTCTAGCACCCGATAAGGGGGTCGGGATAGGCTCAAGGGTGGGGTGGGGGGCGTCGACCCCCAAGTCGACGAGCAAAGAATTGCATGAACATGAACTTTTGATGGTCCTCTCGCATTTCGAAGCTCCAGTGCAGAACCAAGAATCCGCGCGGACCGTCGAAATATTATGTTTATGCTATATCGCCCATTTATCGCCGATAGGGGCCCGATTACCAAAACCCGCCCATGAATGCGCGGATTCGCATTCAGGGGCCTATCTCCGATCTATCGGCGATGCCTTGCCGAATCCAGGTAGCCCTTTCCCCCTCTGAGCTGATCCTTCCCTAACGTTGCCCCTGAGCAATCTCCTCCGGGGGAGGGATGTGTGTTTTTCTCCACTGAGTGCTTGTACTGAACGGGTCCTAGCGCAAGTTGAACAAGCTAGCGAAAGTATGCCGATTTCGGTAGGCCGCCGGCTTATCGATTTCCTGGTCCAGGTTTCGGCGAAATTGCTGGGCCGATTTCGATGGGCGTCTTGGTTCCAGGCTTATTGCAGTTACATCAAAGTCCCTGTCCATGATGCCAGGCGGCAACCAATGCAACAGGATTTTCATATTTCATGGCAGCAGCCAAAGTACTGTCGGGCGGCACGAGCTCCCCAACGGGTCGATCCCGATGTAGAAGCCATCATGGCAATGGTCGCGCTGGAGGGCTTCACAATAGTAGATTGAGGATTACGTGAACTGAGGCTCGTTGACATTTTGCATGACGACTGTCACCCCCAAGCGCAATCATTGCCGGCAGTAACGTTTTCTCTACCCTGATGGTGCCCTTTGCATGAGAGACCATCCAAGAAGAGACATGCTATGCAACTGAGAGAAGCATCGAAGATGCATGGGCTGGGGCAGTGTGATTGGGTATCAGAAATGGGCCCTGAGAGCCGGTGCTCAGCGAGCAGATGAGGAGGAGGCGGAGGAGGGGGAGGGGGAGGGGGAGGGGGGGTAGGAGGCTGGCTTCTAACAGAGTGAAGGGGCCGAGCGATATGTTAATACTTCGCTGCGAGCCCGAAATCGGGTTCCGTGGTGCAGATTCATGTTGTGTTGTGTTGCTAAGTTTCATTTCGATGGAATAAGTACTGTTGATCCCGCCTTCGGTGCCCACGGTGTTTTTTTTCAATTGAAGTGCCCCATCCCGGGGCTCGCACCCTCTGTTACAAGGGAGTCTCTTGGGTCTAAAAGCTGAGTTGTTGGCTCCCGAGTTGCCACAGCAACGGCTACGTCCTCTCGCTTCCTTACAAGTTATGGCATAATCGAGCTCACGACCCAGACTTCCTCGCAAATATGCCCAGGAATCGCCCTCTCGTGTGGGAAATTCCTCCCGCTATTCCAGCGCCGCGCTCTCGGCACTCCGTAACCCCACTCGAGGACTTTCCGATCATTTGCTCACGAGGTCCCCTGCGATTCCTGCCGGAGCCGCGCCCCCGCTCGAGACTTCCCCCTGCAGCTGGCCCAAGAGTGGCGCTCTCGCTCGGGACCGCCTCGCAGTCTGCCCAGGAATCGCGACCTCGCCTACGCTCCAGTCGGGCCTGTCCCTCTACAGGAGGAACCTCCAAAAATAGTCAAAAGATGGTCAGGACACCATTCCTACAATTGAAGAGCATGTTTCAGTTTTTGTTGGTCGAGTATGCTTGATTGCTTGTCCAGGGCCCCCCCTGTAGGGGGACGTCGTGGCCCGACCTGAGCCTGCGCGTGCCACGCCGTCTGCTGCGAGGCACTCTGTGTGGCCCGCCCGCCCCGCCCGCCCGCCCGGGGCCCGCCCCGCCCAGAGGCCCGCCCCGCGTGAGGCCTGCGGTCGCCCCCCGCCGCCGCCTCTTTGGGCGTGCCCCGCCCGCCCGACCCGCCCGTGCAGGGACGCCCCCCCCCCCGCCCGCTCGACCTGCTCGCCCCGGTCCGTCTCTCCTTGCTCCTCCAGGTCCCCTGGATGATCTCGGGGCGACCGGAGTGGGGTACGGGAAGAATGGGTGCAATGCCCAGCAGCAGTTCCTGTTCGTGTTGAGCAGGGCTCGCTGTCCGCGCCGCCGCGGCCTGTGTCCCTTTGAGACAGAAGGCCGTCTGCCCAAGAGCGACCTTTGTTGGTTTGGGACAACATTTGTTTTTTGGCATTGTACCCATTTTTTCCGTACCCAGTTCAGGCGTCCCACATGAGGAGACCCAGGCGAAACATGACCCCCCCCCCACCAAGTGTGAGTCGAGCAGAAGCAAGGCCGAAATCCAGCTGACCCCACCTGGGCTCTCGCACATCTTTGCGAGTGGCTTTTTTTCCCTTGCGGCCGGCTTTTTGGAATGCGCGGTTAGCGTGGCTATGGCGCGGCAGTCTCTCGCGCGTGCTTGTGTCAGGCTGGCGCAGTCAGCGATAGCGTTCGGCTTTTTGGAGTGGCTCCTTCGGGGGCCCCGAAGGAGTGGGCGAGAAACAGGGCTGGACCTAGACGGTGTTCTGGTCATCTCGTGGGCCGTTTCGTTTTTCGTTCTGTTCTGCACTCGAGGCGAAGCGAGGGCAAGACAAGGACGAGCGAAAGACAACTCGAAAACGGAAAGGACCGATTGGGTTCAGTCCTGGCGATAGAGAGAATCAGCCGAATGTTTTTCTGCCTCCGGGGCGTAGCGGCTGCGTGCTAGGCACCAGCCTTGGGGCCTGCTCAGCCTCTTCTGGGCCACAAGGCTACTGACCGTGCAGGTCCCCATCCCTGCCATGGTCGGACCGAGGTAGAAGGTCGAGGTCGGCTCGGCGAGGGTACCCTAGTGTTCAGTCGGGCGTGTCCCCATCTACAGGAGGATTTGTTTGTTGAAGCAGAAGGCAAACAATAGTCTGGGGACGATCTCTTGATTATTTGTGACCATTTTCGAGTATGGTTTTGAGCATTCGTTAAGCATTTAACATCCAAAATTCCCCTGTAGGGGGACATGCCTGACTTGCCCCTCGTGTCGTGCTCTCGGCCTCGTGGACGGGGTCGGAGTCGCGCCGTATCGTCGATGCATCGGCGATGCGGCTCGATGTGGAGCCCGACTTCCTCCACGCTGGCGTCGCCGATGCATCGGCGATTGTATCGCCGATGCGGCGCGGCCCTCCGACCCCACCTACTTCGACCCCATCCAGGAGGCCTCCACCGCTAGAAGCCATTTCTTTCTTGCTTGGGGCATGACGGGCGCCATGGCCCCCGCTCCCCCCCCCCCTATGACGTAACGCTCCCCCCCCCCGG